AAACCGGAAGTGGCACTGTAGCTCAAGTGGTAGAGCGCTCGCCTTGAGCTGAAGAGCTGAGGGACAGCGCCCAGGCCCAGAGTTCAAGCCCCACGCCGACAAAAAAAAAAAAAAAGAAATGATCAACATTCCAATTATTTGGTTTTCAGCCACTTATTCTAGTGACAGCTCAGTTTTTCTCTACTTCTCCAAAACTTTATTACAGAATGAGGAGGGTAGAGCACTTGCCCATCAGGCATGAGGACCTGCGTCCAAACCCTAGTACTCAATGTAAATTCTACAAAATTAAAGGAAACTGAGGGAAGGGGTGGGGCTGGGGTGGGAGGGAGGATGATAAAAGGGCTAAGTGAATCAGTGAATCAAGACGTATTCATAAACTACTTTCTTAAATGGCAATTACTTTGTAGAACTACTTAAAAATTCCTAGTTACTGCTGGGGGAGAGGAAGGAAGAGAGAGAGGGAGGGAGGGGGGGAAGAGAAGAATGTGGGGGTGTAGCTCAATGGCTCAGAGCTTGCTTAGCCTGAGGGAGGCTATTTTCCATCCTAGCACCACAAAAAGAAAAAGAAAAAAATAAAAGAAACCAAGTGGCTAAAAACACCAGGTTCCTAAGAAGGAAAATAGAAGGGTTGGGACAGGATAGACGAGGGGAAAATGATGCATGAGGAGCAAGAGAGGAATTCAGTGATAAACACTATGAATTTGCAGATAAAATATCTCAAAGACAAATAGCTGTCTTAAAAGAAGCGTCTGGCAGAACCCATCCTTTGTTTAAAAGGGAAACTTAAATGTATCTATGGCATAATGCCACACGTTTCATCAAGCGGCCCACCTCGCTACCTTTGGGCCCAATTCTTGACCGCCAGGATGACGGACTAAACCAGGGCTCCAGAATAATGGGGGGACTCATCCTACGGCAGGGTGAGGCCACACCTCCACCTGTACTTTCATCCTAAATACCCCTGACGTTAGATGAAGGCTAAGGGGGTTCTCTACCGCCCCAGCTTCCACACAAGCCCCAGGTACTCAATGCACACGTGACAGAAATTTCCAGGGTTCTCACAGGCTCGGGTTTGGCGAGGTTTACTTCAGTATAACAAGATGACGTGAAGCAGGGAGCGCAGAGCCAGCCCGGGGGCTCGGGGGCAGCTTCGATGACTGAGCTGGAAGACGCACGTGCTTTATTCAACTTTCTTGGTTTCTACCTCCTAAAATCGTGGCTAACAACGTCAAGACCAGGCCAAGACCTCTCTGGAGTCTCACCGGTTCGAATTTTAAAGCACACGGGGCGTCGGTGGCTCACGCCTGTCATCCTAGCTACTCGGGAGGCTGAGGTCTGAGGATCGAGGTTCAAAGCCAGCCCGGGCAGGAAAGACCGTGAGACTCTTAACGCCAATAAACCACCAGAAAACCGGAAGTGGCGCTGTGGCTCAAGTGGTAGAGCGCTCGCCTTGAGCTGGGGCAGCGCCCAGGCCCAGAGTTCAAGCCCCACGACCGACAACACACACACCACAAGTGGCTGCATCTTAGGTAACTAGGGACTGAGTCCCCACTGTGCTGTGGCTCACGCCATGTAAAAGCCAGCCCGGGCAGGTACGGTCGTTCCCTACGGGCTCAGGGAGGTTTGGGGTTACCACGGAACAAAACCGCTCTCCAGAGATGCTTCATTCCCGCGGGATCCACGACTTCCGGTTCCTGCCACCGCTCG